GGCGCACCCGGGTGGGTACGGCCGGGGCAGGCTCACGGGCTCTGCGTGGATGCTGCCTTAGCGCCGCTGAGGGTTTGGGTGTGTTGTTGTTGTGGGGTTTGTTTGGTTTGTTGGTTTTTTTTTTTTCCCTTCCCTCCTGGAAGTTTCCTTCCTCCTTCCCTTTCTCCACCCCTTCTCCAGTCACTGCGTTTCCTTCCCCTTGTGTCTCCCCGGTTAGGACTGCTGCTCCATTCCCTCTCCCGACGAGAGCATAGCGTTGCTTCCTGCTAGGCCGGGAAAGGTCACTGACAATAATACACTTTTCTCTCCAGAGATGTGAATGATTTAGCAGTCTAGTTTTCCTGGCACACTCATCGGGTAGGCAAGTCCTAGGAGAGAGATGGAGGGCCAAGTGATTTCAGGGCAGTGTTAGAGCTGAAGAGTGGGGACGAGCACTCTCCCAGATTCCTGCTCCATCCTCTGATGGTAAGATGTTGTCCCTTGGCTTGATCCGGGGTGGTCACAGTGTTCCCTGACCCCACTCCCATGAAAGCCTGAGGTAGAGATCATTTCCTATATCCTGTTAACCCTCATGTGGCAAGACAGCATGAGCTGCGCCACTTACTGCACTGAAAGTGGGAGATCTACTCTAAACCGTCCAGATAACTGATTTAAAGAAATGGGTCTTCTAGTAAGTGACTGTGCTAAATCATCACTGCTGCCTCATGCCATTCCTGCTTGCACACACAGATTCAGACTAAAGAGGAGACAGGGATTTTCTGGAAGAGAGACCTCAAACTTCAAGAGTTGGCTTTGATTTAAATAAATTCATGTTTTAAAAATAATCAGCTAGGGGACTTTCACTTAGCATATGGAAAATCCAGGATAATTCCTGCAACATCTCGGAAGGGAAGTCTCAGGGCGGTCTCCCTGGAAAGGATGGTAGAAGATCTTTAATGTATAAAGCCTAGAAAGCCTCCACAGTATGAAGTAAGAAGGTCTAGAGAATAGATAGTTTGGTACGTGTACCAAACCTGTGCCTTTGCCCTTCTAACGGACCTAACTTGGAGGCAAGTGGGTGGTCTGTTGTGGTGGTCCCAGACTCTGTCTGGGCTCTCTGCTAGAATCGAATCAGCTCTTCCTCACTCCTCGCTGCCAGAGGTTTTGTGAGGCCATGTCACCCCTGGGAAGAACTGCTCCAGGTCAGATCTCCCCACTGATTTCACAGAGACCCCTGGATTGCCAGTCAACAGTAATTCTTTATCTCAGATATTTACAAAATGCTGCGTGGTGAAGTGGATCCTGAACTGGGCCCAGTAGCAGCACGCACTGTCGTTGTACAAGTTGATGTTCTGTGTAGATGCTTCTGAAGTTGGTGTATGTGCTTAAAAGTTTCCTAAGCACGTCAACTGCATAACACTGCGCTTGCCAGATGTCAGCTGATCTCCCTGCCAATTAACCATCTCTACTCTGCCAGCTTCTCTGATAGTCATGAAATGGCTCAGGGAGTGTTCAGACAATTCAGATGAAACTTTGGTGGAAATATATTTAAACAGGGAAAATACAATACATGATAAATACTTTTTTTTTTTTTTTTTTAAATCACATCGAGTCCCAGTGTACCGAGTCCCTATAGAACAGTAGTGTCTCATCCGTCTATTTTTCCAGTGTGAAAGACTGAGAAATACTTGTGATCCAAAAACCTCCAGAAAACAATCCAGACAAGCTTCTAGTGGTCCTTGCAAGCATCAGTTTATGGGCTTTTAGCACTTGCCTGTAAACCTGGCTTAGCACTGCCCGGGGTTTCTGAGCTGGCTGGCCCATAGATCTGTCTTTTCTGCCTGGCACATCTACTAATGAGGGTTCAGAAGTTAATTTCTGCTCCAATTCATTGGGCTCTTCAACAGCAATAAATAAGGAAGCTTGCCTGGGCAAACCTTACTATAATTGTGTGTTTACAGTGCAGCCACACATAGACAATATAAATTTAGATAGCTTGGGGGTTTGTGTGATTTCTATTTTGTTTTTATCAGTTTGCTTATAACTGATGCATGTGCTGGTTTATTATCTGAAATGGGTCACCATGTTATTTTAGCTACAGTTATAATAGGCAGCATCACTGTAAATAGTCCAGGTATTGGGCAATATAAATTTCATTACAGATTTACTTTTCTCTCAGTTTCAAGTAAGGTGATGAATGAAACTTCTTAATAAGTCTGCATAACTTACACCACCTATATTTCTAATCCCTTTGTTATATAGTGTTTTCTGCAAAACTTTTAGCAAGCGTTATAAAATGACAGCAATGCAGTTAATAAATGCTGGAATAAAATGGCATTTGGACCCAAAAGTCTATAGGAACATGATTTCCCATTATCAGAGCATACATTCAAAGCAGAAAGCTATCCTTAATCTCTCAGCAGAGCTTATTTTAGCCTAGAGCTGTGCTTGGCAGGGTTGTTGTCTGAATGCGTTTTGTTGTTAGGTAGGAAAGGGGCATGCTGGATGAATGTGAAAGTCAGCTGGTGACTCAGCCTGGCTCCAGTGATTTGCGCGCAGCTTTTTGCAGCTTTTTTGTTGGAAGCACATACGTGAAAATGGAGCAGAGAATGCCCCCCACTGCACAAGTATGATTTATGGCAAAGGCTTTTGGCACAAGTAAAGCTCAAAATACAACTGTTTTTCCTTGAGGACTTTCTACTTTTTGTCCTGATTTGACCTTTACGGGGATTGGTGACAGCTGCTCTTGACACACAGTGTCCTGACAAATGGGAGTTGTTTTGACTAGTCTCACTGTCCCTAACAGATGCCACTCAAGACATTCCATATAGAACAATTTACATAAGAAACACAGTTTTGTTTTGTGTTCACCGCGTGGACTAGGAGCTCTGGGTTTTGCTGCACAGTATCACGCACTCATTATTTTGCACTTGTGTTTCATAACAGAAATTTAGACTAGAGATGCTACTCTTTCAAAATGAGCATACCTAACACTGACTCCCCTGGCCCATGCTGTGTGATGTTTCTGGGGCATTTATAACAGCCTTTGCAGCTGCTTCCTGGGATGCAGGAGGTAATTCTTGCTCATGTTTGGTTATCTTGTATAACACAACAGAATCCTCAATGTGGTCCTCGCAGCAATATGGGGTGTAAAGAGCCATCCTTTGGGTAACTTGCACGTCAAAAATGTTTGCATCAGGAATTGTCTCCACGTATATTTACATTCAGCATATAGCAAAAGGAGACTTTGATAGTTGGTTTCTTGATGCTGGCATTAGAAAAGTAGATATCTTCAAAGAAATTCAAAATAGTCTCATTTAATTGTTTTCTATAAGAATCATAGTAGGATTGTTAGTAGTTTGATCTGTAAATAGTCCAGTCAAATACTCTTAACATGTTTAAAATTATAAATGTGTTGTCCCGGTCTACCCTTTAGGAATTAGAACTGGTGGAGGATGTCTGGAGAGGGGAAGCACAGGACCTTCTTACCCAAATTGCACAGCTGCAGGAGGAGAATAAACAACTGATGACAAACTTGTCTCACAAAGACATTAATTTCACAGAAGAGGAATTTCACAAGCATGAAGGCAAGTTTGATAATTCAAATTCAGTAATTGCTTTTGTTATAAAAAGCAATACTTTATCAAAGTACTTTGACTGGATATTCTGGGGGGTTTTCCTATAGATTAATGCAAGTCTGGGGATTGGTGTTTTCTTACCTGACTAAAAAAAAAAATAAATCTCTGAACACTTGGTAATACTGAGGACATAAGAGGTGGGTGTAGGAGGTAAAGAAAAGCCTGAACAGCTTTTTGTTTGGCTGAGAAGCACCTCTGAAAGTAAGTCTAGCTTCCTTTTTTTTTTTATTTATCACTTTTTTTTCCTCCTTAGTTTGCATCTTTCAAAAAAAAATTCTTAAGCCCTGCTTATGTTTTCTAATGCAAACAGAATAATCTATTCAACAATGTTTATATCACACCGTTATGCACAAAAAATAAGTGCAACTGTTAATCTGTTTGGGATAACTGTTTGCAAAGCAGCAAATCAAGATTTCTTTGTCTGAATTATATCAGTCCCCACCATACGGAGATATCATGATATTCTCCTAGAATTGGAGAGACTGATTTTACTTGGTTTACCTGCCTTTAGGGTTCCCTTGCTTGTTTGGGATTAAAAGAGTAAGTGAAGAGATTTATAATCCAGGGAGTGGATGAATCCTAAAGAGTTGCAACAACCTATTTGTGGGCAAATTTCCTGAGGCAGAATGAAGTTCAAGACATAAGATTCCAACTTGCAAGCACAGGTAGATTTCACTGAAACAGTTAGACTGAAACAGTTGCCGCCCTCAGCTCTCGCCCACAGCTCAGCAAATTGCTCTTTCCTAAGGGCAGGGGCAGATGAACAAATGTCTGTTTGCTCCATAAATGTCTTATGTGCGCATCATTTGAGGCTGCTGGCTACTGAGTCCATTTCAGGATACTTTGTTGGGGTTTAAGCTGTGCAGCTTTGGGGATGAGGCAGCCTTGAGCTGAGAGATGGGGCTGGCAGCTGAGAATGGCAACAGCATCACTCCAGCAGCAAAACCTGCCTGTGATGGTGAGTCAGTCTGGAAGTGGGTGGCTTTCTGAACTATTTGTACATGGACAGGACTCTGGTCAACTGATTCAAGCCACAACTCTGCTTTCATTGTAGGTTCTGATTATCAGTAAAGTCGTGGCTCCCTCCAAAGGCTAGCTAGCATCCCATGTGTAGTGTGCAAAGGCACCGGCCAGTCTGAAAACCAGAGCACACAGCTGAGCCACTGCAGCTCTCCAGTAAAGCGTTAGGAACAGAGGGATATCTTTTTCCAGACACTGGAGGCTGGGATTAAACGGAGACTTGCTGTAGGTGGATCAAAGTGTCAACACTGCTGAAGTTGCACTTCCTTCCTCCCAGAGGCTGAGTACTGCTCACTTGCCCTGGGGAGGATTCTAATGAGAGGTTCAACAAATTTTACTTTTGAAGATTTCAAGATCACCACTTTTTTTTTTTTTTTTTTTAAATAAAACACATGCAATGCTTTCAATTTAGGAGTCAATTAATGGCAAAGAAGTAGCTCGACATCAGCCTTACAAACTCCATGCAAAATTTCAGAATGGCAGTGATGAGTCATGGACCATGAAGACTGTGACATAAAGAACCAGCTTCCCCTTTGTTTTCTTTTCTTTTTTTTTATCTAGCTCACTACAGCTCATGTGCTTGCATTTAAATATAGCCATACTCTCCACATTCAGCTAGCCAGGCAAATGCCAGGCATGCTTTTCATGTTATTTTTACTGCGTCTACCCAAGTATAATAACACAAACAAAACCCCTAAACCCATTCCAGAGATCAGATTCTGGGATCACTGATATTCTTTGGTCAAAATCATCTGTTTAAGTCAAATCATGTTAATTTATAGCAACCCCATCTTATTATTGGGACCTATTATATCAAACCTAACTGTTTTTCTTTTAGGAAATTTTGTCATTAATGAATGGGGATAGATTTGTCTCAAATGACTTGTTTGGGTAGTGTCAGAAAGCAGTCATGCTGCTTTTTTTCAGTCTCCATCATTTGACCTCATACATGTGGAGTCTAGAGAGGCAGGTTTTTAAGATAAATACTTTGTTAGCTGGATTAACTTTGACTAGACTCCAGTCTTCGTATCTCAGGACAATTTAGAATTGTGATCATGTCTCCCCTTAGCGGCTAGCCCCTGGGATTAACAGCTTGCTGCTTACTCACCAGACAGTTAAAGGAGTTATTTTTAGCACAGACAACGGAGGCCAGTGATTTGGGTGTGCAAGACTTTGAGATTCAGTCCTTGCCAATTAATAGTCACATCGGAGTTCATGGAGCCTCACTTTAGCATAAAGAAGGTGTTGATGAGGGGGGCAGATGCAATCCTATCTAAACAGGAGTGTTCTGCACAGAGGGCACCTGCTGAGAGTCTGAGCAGAGCAGGCTTCATGTGAAAGGACATGTGGCAGAATACAAAATATGCAAGAGGGGTTAGAGATGAGTCTGCAGTGTCCATTAAGGCTACTCCTCCCAGGCTCAACCTGAGCACTACTTGCTGGTGCTGACTGATTAGCATATCCGAGTAAAATGCCACAAGCAGACTTGACCCAACGCATGTCAAACAGGACAAGCAGGCTGCTCTTCCACCACAGCACAGCCAGGGACCTGCTGTCTCAGACTGGCTGTGGTAGTACAGGCAAGCAGCAGGGTGTCAACAGTTGGGTGAACCTCTTGTGCGAGGCTGCTGAGGAACCTACAACTCCCTTTCAAAAGTAGAGGCAAACCTCTATTCTTCTAAGTATTGAGGTAGTGCTATAGTGCCACAGGCCCTGACTGCTGCTTTGGCCCGTTGTGATAGATGTATAAACACAACAGTAAACAGGTCCCTAAACAAGCATAAAGGATATTCTCTCCTTTTTTATTATGTTTTTTTTCTTTTTTTTTTTTTCCAACTGCTTTCCTTTCTCTTGCTCGAACAATGCTACGATCACAGCAATCCACAGGAAGTTGCTCATAGGATGTGCCTAGGGAAGCCAGCTGGGTGTGCCATTTAAGATCTTGCAGTTATTAGAGTTTCAATGATTCAGAGATAATTATTTTACATTTAGGGCACTTAGTGATTTCCCTCTCCTCTTCCCCAGTGCCTGAGGGAATAGAAGATGTGACTTTCACAAACACTTCCCACCTTTCCTTTCCTCTCCTCTTGAAATAAAAATGATAATGTAGTGAACTGTGCACACAATTGAAGGCTTTTAGGTTCACCAAATGTTAGGGAGAAAAATGAACACAGTGGGAGGAAAAGCAGTCAGCACTGAAATGGTACTTTCTTCTTTAAATAGCTCCTGCTATGTAGAGATCTCAAAGCATCTCACAAGTACTAATGAATATAGCTACACTCACTATTCCTAGCTCCTACTGGGGTGAAACCACCAGTCTAAAGTTTCACTGCAGTCCTTCTGTACTTCAAGGCAGAGTTTTGGGTTTGGTGTTTTTTTGTTTTTAAATACAGCTGATGTTTTAGGCCCCAGCCCTGAGACTGGCTGCAGGAACCTGTAGTGAGATTTGTGCATACAGTAGTGTACCAGACCTGTGTTGTGGTAGGAGTGTGGATCTTTTAGAAGAGTGAAGTCACAGTATGTGTCAGTGTCTGCTCATCCTCCCTGGTGGGTATGACCTGTTATCACAATGAAGAATTAAAATTACCCTGTAAAGAACTAGAACCTAGAGCAGAGAGATGATAAGGACCAGGGTCCAGAAATAGAGCAGGCAGACTTACCACAGAATTAAAAAAGATGAGAATGTAATACTAGAATGTGAACACCATGTCACTCTCGGCTCTTTTCTGGGGTTTGACAGGAACATGTCCTCTGAAACAGATTCCTGGCCAGCCATGGTCACTAGTCCTTTTCCCAGCAGAGCAGTTCCCGTTTTCTGCTGTACCATAGCTCTGGGCCTTTAGCAATGAGGGGTGGGGGCTGCTGTTCCCCCTGTGTGCTTTTTATGTACACTTTTTTTTATGCCTGCATGGGAACCCACAGCTGCTGCAGGAGTGCACATCCACCAAAGAGTTACTCTCTTTCTCTCAGGTTTGTCTTGCTCGACTGTATTACCCACCAGTTCAAACTGTAGACTGTCTGTTAGCTGGAGTTCCTGAAGGCATGCAGCCTACATTCTTTTACAGGAGCAACTCTGGATTTCTCTGATGAGGGAAGAACAACCAGAAAGTCTGAGCTGATGTTAGAAAGTAGAGACAGCTGGCTGGATACATTTGATGTGTATGCAGCGTATTTCTGATGTGGGAACTGCTTCAATATATTAAAAAAGTGGCTTTCCAGCCACCCCAGAGGGGTGAGTGAATTATCACTACTCGCAGTTCATAAATGGAGGTAGCTGAGGACCCCTGTAACTAAGTACTTTGCCAAAGGTAATAGAACAGGGCACCTGGATTTGAGCTCCTGTTCGGACTGGACTTGGGCCAGAGCAGCCACACACTGCCCTAGTCACAGGCTTTCATCTTCAAGCCATCCTATGGGATGTCGTGCAGGGTGATTTTATGTGATAGTTTAGGCCCATCAAACTGCGTGTGTCTGTGCAGTTATCAGGGCGTTAGTGTGGTAGATTTATCATTGCGCCGAGTTAAATCATCTGGGCTGTGTTTGCTCTGAAGAGCCCTTCGCTGTATTGCCAGTTCCTGATTTTCTCCATAATGGCAAATGCTTCCTGTTTTGTGATTGATAACACTTCCTAATGATTCGCTGGTTGGATTTCAGGTTAATGTAATCCTTTATTTTCAAACAGGATCAATGATGGATTCTTGGCGATGCTCCAAACATCCTTCACAAGTGAAATGCCATGTAATATTTTTCCCTGAAGTACAGTTATTCTAAATATGAATTATCACACAGTAGGATGGGGAAAGGGTTGCAAAACATGAGGAGAAAATAATTCTGACTAAATTTCTGTTCTAGATTCAGGGTGGGGGTACCCTCTGAAGGTCCTGCGTCATCTCCCTTTTACCCAACACAAAAACGGGTTTCAGCATCAAACCATTCTAGTCCAGTGCACCTCATTTGGTTTGGACCTAGATGCAATCCACAATAGTGACATGTTGTTTAGATCTTGCTGAGGATCCAAACCATCTTTTTCACAATTTTCGCAGGGTCTTGACCAGCTGATGCTACAGATTATCACACAGATAACCAAGCTCCCTGGGGCATAGTGTGAACACTGATGTAAAACTACTGAGGCAGCAAGATGTACCAGTGACACTCTGCTGTTATAAATGTTTCTGAGGACTATCAGTTCCTTTTTTAAGGCGTTTCTGTGCGGTGGCTTTATGGAGTGGATGGTGTTATCTATATTCTCTGTTACCCTTGAAGTAACCTTTAAAGCATCTTCCAACAGCTTCCCTGTAATTGTACCAGCGGGCAACTTCCAGAATCTTTACCTAAATATTTCTCACTGTTATTGTTCTCAGTCTCAGTAGCTCCTGATTGTCCTTAGTTTGTTTTCTGTGTTCTGTTTTTTAACCAGGAATGTCAGAGAGAGAGCGGCAAGTCATGAAGAAGCTGAAGGAAGTGGTAGATAAACAGAGGGATGAAATCAGAGCAAAGGATCGGGAACTTGGACTTAAAAATGAGGATGTAGAGGCTGTAAGTGGCTCTTAGTCTTCCTACTTCTCTTCTTTCTCACCCATACTTCCATAGCCTGGTTTCAGGTTTTATGTTAATGTAGAATTTGTAAGCAATGCCAGATTATTAGTCCAGTAACTGAAGAGTCTGGTGTAACTGTAGAGTGTCCGGAATGATTAGGCAGTTTTCAGTGCAGACACACACCCTGGGCTGTGTTCAGAAGGACCAGGCACACTTGGAACATGACTGGAAACCAGTGTAACAAGGGAGGAAGAGGGGGGGAAGGACAGGTTGGTTGGTTTGTTTCCTTAAAGACCCAATACCTCTCCCCTTTCATGGGAACAGGATAAGGGACGTTCTCTGGCTTCTTGAATTTCTCTCTGCTTTGGCAGTGCAAACTTCCTCAGCACCCCCATGCCTCACCCAACCCAGAGATCCCTGCCATAGGTGAGCAGGCTACTGTATATTTTATGTATACACTGCAGAGTTTGGCAGCAGGGATTCCACACACGTGCTCCCATACCGGGGATGCAACAAGGATTAGCTCTCTGCACAGGAGGGGGCTGAGCCCAGCCCAGGTCACTCACTTTTGCCAGCAGTGAACAGAAGGTCCCTCAGAGAATCGGTGGCTCTGGGCACAAGAGATCCGGGTTTAGTCTTTGATGAATCACAGACTCCACTGTGACTCGGAATCACATGATGTCTCGGTCCTTTCTGTGTCAGGAGGCATGACCTCCTTACGCATATTTTGCCTTCCATCCTCATGCTGCCTCATCTCCCTAGGCCATGGGACTTTTTGGGTGCTAGTGAGAGCCAGACCTAGATGATCTCTGCTCAGCCCAAGTGCCTCTGGCAGGTCCTGTGGCCTCTCAAATTGCTGCTGTCCATACAATGCCCAGCAGGTCACATCCTGCCTTATGGGAGAGTTGAAGAGCTCAAAGCAAAGTACTTATAAATTGAATACTAAGGGTTCCTCTGTTTTGCTTTCTCTCTTCTACTCTGTGTTAAGATTTGATTCACAACTCCCTAAGCCACCCTATGCTTGAACTTTTGTTTTTTTGAAACGTAGTATCAGAAGCGATGGATTTGCTTTCAGCTGTGCTAGGGGAAAAAAACGCCTCTTTACTCTAGGAACCAATTAAATTTTGGTGACTGTAGTAGATAATTAAACTTTGCAACTGTAGTAGGTAATTAGATCTTAAAAAAACTAATCTGGGGGGTGAGGAGAAAGGGGGAGAATTTTCCAGATTCAATTCAACAGGAACCTACTACTTTTTCTATAACGTAATGTTTGGGACTTGGCCATCGTGGCTGGCGGTTGAATGGATGCTGACCTACTGCATCAATGTCTTGCAGCTTCAACAACAACAGAACAGGTTAATGAAAATTAACCATGACTTGCGGCACCGGATCACCGTTGTTGAGGCTCAGGGGAAGGCGTTGATTGAGCAGAAGGTGGAGTTAGAAGCCTATCTGCAAACCAAGGAGCAGGAGATGGGCAGCCTGCGAGCAGAGCTGGGGAAACTGAGGGAAAAACTGCAGGGTGAGGACAGCCAAAATGGGGAGGAAGTAAAGGTAAGAGGCACTTTAAATCACTTTTTAAACAGCCTTTTAAAAAGCTTTGGACTTCATACCAAGTACCTCTTCTTTGGATAAATGTGATACATGTCAGAGGCGATGGGGGGACTTGAGGACAGCATCTTGTGTTCAGGTGTGACACAGAGAGCAATGCCATTCACTGCACTGTGACAGGAAAGGCCCTGCTGGGGTGGCTGATGACCCAGTGGCACAGATCCCTCCTTTAGGAAGGGCAACCAGCCTCACAGAAGGCAGAGTGGTAGCACAAGTTAGCACTGGGCTGTCTGCATTGGGAGAACAGCTCTGCCCTTAGACTTGGCTACCCATCGTACATCCTAGGGAGTGTAACCTGAGGTCATGCACTGCGCTGCAGAATTTGCCAGATACCAGAACAAATCACTGCTTCAATAGAGCGTGTTCTATTACAAACATCATGATGCAATCCAGAATCTCTGGATTATCAGCTGCTAGTTTATATTGAAGGTACATGGTGCTTTGGTAGTGCTGTTTTAGTATGTTTGGCTTCATTTTGTTTGTACACATCAAACCCTTCCCCCAGAGGAAAACAAACATCCCTTAAACTGTCTGCGTTTTCCAAAACTGACAGGTAGCTTAAGCCTTGCTGAATATGCAAATGTGCAAGCCCTGATGGGTCCCAAATGTGCCATACACCATGACAGTGGTGGCATGTGAACCATCGTAGAAAATAAATTGTGTCAGAAGGGGTCCCAGAGGCAATGCAGAACTCAGCACACTTGGTCCTCACAGTGCTTGTGGCACTTCTGATCTGTCAGGACTAAGCTGGTCTTCTGCTACCAAATCAACATATGAATATTTGAAGGCACCTTTTAGAGGAACCATCTTTGGCCTTATTTCTGCTTTCGCTTCCTATTAGCCAGTGTTACAGCTTGCATACTCAAGTACTTGCAGGAACAGGCAAAGTGACAGTCTGCAAATTGACTTGGTGCTGAGATCACAGCAGTAGGAATGCAAACTTCAGGGGAGCTTCCTGAGAAAAAGGTGCAGCTCTGATCTGTAGCATCCCTTGGTCCTCTTTATTGTTCCTATTTGTGTATTTGACACTACTTCTGTCTTACTAAAGCCAATGTGCTGTATTACCCTTCCCTAATGCTGCTCTTAGAGTACAAAATAGGATAAGGGGTATCATGACATGAAAGAACTTCAAGAAGCACCATCACGTAGAGCTGTGTGGCTGGGTGTGTTGGTAAGAGCTCCAGCACCGAGCAGCATTGTAAATGCCTGCCTGACAGGCTGCAGCAGAGAGTGAAACATCCAATTCACTTGTAGTAGGCAGGAATACACATCAAGAAGCAGAGGCAAAGGCTGATGGGGTACCCTGGTCCCCCCTGGAACGTGACAGCCAGCGTTGTGCTAACGTGTCACTGTGGAATTGGGCAAGCGCTGTATTAATAATGAAAAGGCTGATTTCATTGCTGTTAATTCAGCCAGGACACCCAGCTTTGTAAATGGGGCTGTGGAGCCTAGGCCTAGAGCCAGCAGGACTGAAAGTGTCTTCAGTCTCCGGAGAGAAAGGATGCATTCTTTACCTCTCCCTAACTCATCAGTTCCATGGTAATGGTGCCTCTTCTAATTAGAGCCGTTCCCCGCTCTCTTTGCCAGGATGATGGTTAGACAGGAATTGCAGTGGCAAGCAGAAAGCTAGAATAGCTGCATGCTCTGGAATGGACATTGCCTGTTGGCTTCGGTCAAGTACATTTGCATTGGCTACAGGCTGCTCAGTCTTTGCTGATTAGAGCAAAACCTAGCAAAACCAGCCTATTTGGGCAAAGGTGTGGGGCAAATATACAACCAAAAGAAGACGCATCAGCCTAGACCCTAATCTAGAGGGGTGAAAAAGAGGAAAAGCATTTGGGTAATTTCCTTTGAACCTCTTGTTAGGTTGCATCAATCTTTATTTATTGTAGTCTGTGTAAAGAAATGCATTTGGATGAGTGGGGTGAATCAAAATGGACAATGAGCATTGTCCTGCAAAGGCGAAGGAGCAGAACAAGGACTGCAATCCCTGCTGGAGAAATTGATACTGCCCCAACCTGAGCTCAGCCAAGTTTAACCTGAAATCATATATCAATAGATAGTAGAACTGTTTCACAAACACATCAGCTTAAAGGAGTGTAGGATCAGGCTTACAGAAAATAGGCTCTGTTTAAAAAATTTCAGCACTTAGCTCCTCAAATTTCCAGCTGATATCCCAGTGAGGTGTCACTGCAGCACAAGCTCTGAGACTGATCTCTGCATCCTACTAGGAGGGCAGGTGGCTGACCTGGCTGCTGGCATCTCTGATTCCACTGTGCTGGTTTCTAGTCAGTCCTCGCAGAAAGCATCACATTTCAAATGTACTTTGCTGGAACAGAGTGCCCTGCGTTTATTTGTATTGTTAGAAATCCTGCAGATTTCTAAAGGCTTGTAGCTGCTTTTCAGCATCTTGACTCCGACTCCCCTTCCCAGGAGCCTGGGATTTCTCATTAACTGGTCCTCAGCTCTGTGCAGCCACTGAGTGGAACAACAGTAGAGGACCTGAACCATGGTCTTCTGTGTGCTGTGTTTATACAGACCACATTTTCACAAGCAGTTAGGGCCAGATAGTTCTGTGCAAGTGCCAGAGTTTACCTGGGTGACAGGAACCAGCCCCACAGGCCTGGGAATCCAACCATGTGCCTACAGTGCAAGTTCTGGCTTATTGGGAGCCACAGAATCTGGGTGGTGGGAGACAAAATTCCACCAAGCTTCCAGTGAACTCTTCTCAGAGGAAAAGAAGACACAAGGGTACACGTGTATAAATGTGTCATCCAGCATTCATCTGCAGTTTTCTTCCACTTTGTAGGTAGATGCTGGTGCTAACACCAATCCTGCTTTTTTAATAAAGGCACAAAGGGGATATAAACTTAAATCTCTGCTTGATATGTTCACATCCAAAGGAGCCATCTCTTCGTGGGAGGAGCTGGAAGGAACTCTCATGATCTTTCCTACGCTGTTTTTCCAGTGTTTATATAAATGACTGATGTTTGATTTACCCCTTTTGTTAAAAGTATGAATTCCTTAAACTGGCTTGTTTATCTGAAATAGGACTATATATTTTCAGTGGACTTTCTGGCAGTCTGGATTCCACAGGAACTTCTCCACAAAAAAAAAAAACCAACACCCATCCCTCATAAGGTGGCTCATGTTGGACCTTGTGTTCAGGCCTGCTAGAAACAACTGGTGTTTTGTTTTCCCAAACATGTAATAATGTGAAAGATTGCTGTGAGCATGGGGTTTTGATTGCTGATCATAACACTTGGGTCTTCCCTTGAACACCAGGTGAAGAGAAGTAAAATAGAGCTCAGATCATCTTTCAGAAGCCTGTCACGGTCTCACCAGTCCTGTGTGTGTCACTGGTCAACCTGTGCACAGGAAGGAACAGAGTGATCAGATCACTGAGCAGTTCTTGCTGACAATCTTTAACATGAAAAACTAATGCTTTTTGTGTTTTTTTTCTCTTAAAATTGCTGTGTTTCTCTTAAAAGAGGATTTAATAGCGCTGAAGGGAAGAGGTTGGGAACTAGACTGATAAATAGACTGAACTAGACTCCTCAGACGTGCACTCACATGGTGAATTTAAAGCCCATGTTTCACTTCCTAGGTAGAACCCAACAATGATGACTGCCTCTCAGAGTCAGAAAAGATGGCAATGGACTTAAAAGATCCAAATCGTCCAAGATTCACCTTGCAGGAGCTCCGGGATGTCCTTCACGAGAGAAATGAGTTGAAATCTAAAGTGTTTTTACTTCAAGAGGAGCTTTTATATTACAAAAGGTAGGTTAGATCTCCTCTCCTGTTGCATCCTATACACAGAGGAGCCACAGGGCAGATCTAGAAACAATAGATGTGCTCTTAAATAGTATCCACAAGCTTCTTTTTTTGCAAAGGCTTAAAGTGGAGATTGCAAGCATATGGCTTTAGTTTGAATCTGGTTCCTCAAAACTGGGAAAAACTATGTCCTTCCCTAACTGTCAGGTTCCCCCTGAATCTTAGAAAGTTTACAAACGTTTAATAATTTTGAACTTCAAAAATGAGGATAAAAGTGGGTCTAAAATGAAAATTCTAGAACTTTTATTCAATGCATTCCTCTTCTCCCTCTCCGTGTCACAATGGGAAGAAAATTTTGAAAGAACGCTCAGTTCAAGGTTGAAAGAAACATCTCCCATTGATTTCAGTGAGCTCTGAACAGATCTTTTTGCATTCCTTCATCAACAGTACTACTTCAGATTGAATTTTAGAACTTAAAGTGCTTCCATGGCTGGGGAGAAGACCATTAATTACCTTTTCTTTCTTGCAAGTGAGGAAACAGAAGAAGAAACTAGATCACCTCAACCTACACCCATAATTCAGTCAAAACCCTCAACTCAGCCTGAATCTGGAATCAAACGACTGTAAGTAGTATATTTTCTAAAGATACTGGATATAGTCTGCAAATACTAAATGTTTTTTATGGGTAGGACAATTTTAAAGTTAAGGTAACCACATCCCTAATGTATATGGCAGAGAGACATTGAAGGCGCGCTTGACAAGTATCATGAAACAGCAGTTGGCTTTGGCCAAAACTTTTCCCTAAATCTGGGACAACTTTCAGTCTTGGATTATTTCCTGTGGTACCTTTTGCTCCCCACGTGCAGACAGCAGTAGGGACGCCAACAGTACTCCATGTGCTTGTGTTTATGGGCCAGACTCCTGTGCCCGAGAAGCCCACTCCAGTTCTAATGTTTCCCTCTTAAGTACATTATTCAGGCTAACCCAAAGAGCATGTGTTGCAGTGTTTTATTATAGCTGGTATGAGCTGATGAGCTCTTAAACACAGACACCTGATCTTCCAAGAGAATTTTCTTGTCTGGGCCACGTAGTCCTACTCCAAAGGGATGTGCTACTAATTGTGGTCTTATCCAGAGCCCTGCTCAGCCTGTCCTGTGTGCCCAAAACTAAAATCAGTGCCGGATCTCAGTGCGCAGGGATTGTAGGAACAATGCTCCTGTTCCAGTGCAAGTCCTAGTTCTTTAACACCCAGATCTTAAGGAAATGGAGCATCAGAAGCCACTGGCCCCCAGATCATGCTGGGAAGACCTATGAAGAGTGCTCTTCACCAGTAAAACCGGCTGCAGACTTGTTGCAGTTGGGTGTGGAGAGCAAGGTTTCCCCGTGACCTGGCTGTGCCCGTTTCCCTGCTGACCTGAGCCTTTAGACCCTGACTTGCACTATATGTACAGCACAAAAAACCTTTTGTTTGCTGAACGAATTTGCTGCTGGAGAGGACGCCAGCTTTCTTGGCTATAAAGAACCTCACCTTCTGGTGAAGTATTTAATGTTGCTCTCCGAAGAGGTGTGCATTTACTAGTATATCACTTAATAATAAAATCCAGTGTTAGCCAATCCACTTGTCTGTTGGAACTCCCTCCTCGTACATTTATTTATTCCAAATTAAGTCTTGTAACCTTACAGCAAGTCTTTGGGTTTTTGTAATACTGGAAGCTTTACTTTAACTGCATAAATGATTTTGGAACAGTCATTTGTTTCCACATAAAAAGCTCTTCCATCCAGTCCCCATGTCCATAACCTTTAGTCCTTGTTTAATAATAGCAGCAGCCCTGTGAGAGTAAATTTCATGGGAAGATCTAGACTAATCCAAAACACCATAAAGTCAGGAGGGTACTTTTGATTATTTTCAGCAGACTTCAGCTTCTGTCTGTGCTGCTTTGTTTGCTGAGAGAACACTTCCTCTCACATGACTAGAAAAATACACTTTGAGTTTGGACTTAAGTTTTCATTCCACAACTGTGATGATGATGATAACAGCAATTTGTCTCGCAAGATCTCCACTGTAAAGCTTCTCTTTTCTTTTAGGTTTATTTTAGTACTTTTTAAGGCTTACCCTGTTGTGGGGGGTGGCTGGTTTCAGCTTACGCAGTTGGTGTTGATTGCAGCTTCCATGGTTGATTTATGAAGCAGAGGCAGCATAAAAATGTAAATAGATGTTGTAAGACAGAGCACATGGTGACAAGGTATTAGCTTTGCCTCCTGCATACGTGTGTAAGCAACGCAGGGAGCCATGGCAGGAGGCACCTCAAGTGTTTTCACCAGTTATCTCAGTGCTTTCTTCCTCTGGGTTAATTTATGAGTGAAAACCTGTTGAGCATCAGACCATTCGATCAATGCAACTTTTCAGACACCCATCTAATCTTTCTGTTTCTCAGATTCTGTGTTAAATTCAAACAACTAAACCCGCACAACAATAAAATATAAAATCATGTTGTTTTGGCCCTTTCAGAAAAGGCAAGAATCCTCTTCTGCCGGATGGTGGAAGCAGGTATTGAACCTGCTGTTAAGATGAAATTACTTTCTTTAGCTGTCATGCTCTGTCCGAGGGTTTCTTTTCATTTAGCCATCATGTTAAATAAGGGAAGATAAAACTGTTTACTTAAGTAACCTGAAGGATGGTAATAGTTTTCAGATTTGTTTTAGTCTTGCAGCCTGTCTGGATAAGATTTGTCTAGTGTGAGTTTTTCTTTCCCCCCTCCTCTGTGTGTGTGTTGTCAACAGTGTACTTGTAGATGGGCTTTCAAAAGAGGAAATTTCACTGCTGGGAAAAAGAAAGAATCCAAGTGTAGCATCTGTTGTGTCCTGTTTTAACACCCCTCCTGCCCCACCTGCAGTCCCTGCCCGTGTGAGCTGTCTCCAGAGCTCCCTTCTCCCTCTCGCAGGCTGGACGCTGTCAGCACCTCACTCTGTGCCCCCCCTGAGTAACTCACTCACACGTAAACCCTCCATACCGCAGGGTGATGCTGATACCTGCCTGCAGAGCACCTTTACAAATGAAAGGAGGGTTGCTTTTCGCTCTGTTTCAGACTCTTCCTCCTGATTAAACAAAAAGCTGAAGTACAAAAATAGGAGACACCGTTGCTGAACTCTCAAGAGTTTTATGCTTGTCTCTGTAATGTGCCCTTTTTCCCTTGATCACACCATGTCTCGGGCAGTGAGACATATCTATAGGTACCCTGTGCTATATAAGATGTGCTCAGGTGTTTCTGTGCTGTATCCCCATAAAGAAAGGAAAAGAGAAGTTACAGAAATCAACATTTTTTTCACTCCCAGGGTTCACACATTTGGGGCAAACTCTTGAGTTCTGATCCCAGACTGCCAATTTCCACATTTGTCTCTACCACATCACATGTCAGAGTTTTGATGAAATAATGTAACCAGGAGGCTTTATTGAGGAGAAGGACAAGGATTAAAAATGCTCCCTCTGTTTTGAGCAGAAAATGCCCTTTTGTTTTCTCCTTAAGGATACGTGCTGCTTTGTCACTGATGTAATGCCTGAAACAGCCATAAGATTTCTTCCTATTCTTGCAGTCTACAAAAGCTGATGTGTCTGTCTCATTTCTGCAGCTCACGGACTGTGCCACAATGCATAAAAATAGAAGTCCTAGCTACTGTTTGCTTGTTTGTTTTCATTTTTAAGCTAAGAATAGCAATTAGAGTGACTGTGTTGGGGAGAGCTGCATTTGGTCACAAGTGAAATGTGTCTCGTGATTTCAACTTAATCTTTAATTGACATCAGTCCACAGTTCAAAAAAATATTTGGCACGAGGGAGAACCTCTGAGGAGAATCCTTAGAAAAACAGAGGGTGTTCCAGGTACGGATGAAGGTGTGTTGTCAGGTTTGTGTGGGGCTGGCTGGGCACAGAGCACCTAGCCAGCGTGCTCTCTCAACCTCTTGCATGAATTGCAGAACGCGTAGTGAAAGTGCCGAATTCTTACAGCTAGAAGGTGTTTCTGCTAGAGTAGTTGCAAGGTTTCAAATAAATATTGAGCTGCCTGCAGTTGGCATTTTTCTGCATGTGAAGCAATGCAGGTTCTTTTGGAACAGATACAAAGGCCTTTTAACCAAGTAGCTTGCATAGGAGGTTATTTCAAGATTTCACCTGCAATACTGGTTTTTAATTAGAAACTATCAACTGTAACATTTGTAAAATCTTTAATTCTGGTCCTGTCTAACCCTGTTTTCTGTGCAAATATCCAGTGGTCACAGCAGAGTCCTGTTTTGTATTTAACATACACCTTCATCCTTCATTTCATTACGTATGTGCCTGTTTTGTCTCTTGGGAAGAAAACTGTGCACTCTGCTCTGCATTGCTAGAGGTGGTAATACCTTGATGAAATCCAACCCAGATTGCAGGCTGCCTCACAACAGAAAAGTGGTATCTTTTAGAAATTCCAAAGCATTTTCAACTGCTACAGTGACTGCTTTTTCTAAGTAAAGAGTTTTTCACTGAGGAGAGCTGTCTTGGGTGATGCAGATCCACCTCTCCCTGTAACGTGTCCTGTGTGGTAATTCAAAGTAACCCCGTGTATCATGTTTACCTCTTTTCTTTTTAATGGAATGCTTTTTCTTTCCCTTGCTCCAGTCTTACCTCTTCTGTGTCTGTACTTTCCTGACCAGGATCTTTACAGCCATAATGCCCATGGTAGCAGCTGGATTGATTCCAGACGATCCCACATTGCAGCCAATAAGAAGACTTGTGTCCCTTGTAGGAATTTTTTTTTTTAAAATGTTTGGTACCGTGGTTTCCTTTTGCATGACCCCATGTTAACATGCACTGCTGGTTGCATTCTCATCGGCTGCCTGTGGGATCACAGAAGAACAAAGTGCCAATCAGAATGACCAGTCAGTACACGACTCATCCTAGCCCTCCGTACTCATCCTCAAGTATTGACATTTTAGCACCTTTTGCCTTAATGTTACCATGCTAAACCAATCATTACTCCTTAGAAAATTGTTGCAATATGCAGTTTTAACCAGCATCTGTTAATTTTGCTTACTAAGCGTGCCTATTCACACCAAAGCTTTCTAAGAAACCCATGTCATTCTAATGACTAGTTACAAATCAGTTAGCTTTACAGAATGTAATGGCTGATAGCTACATTAATTTCCAGTGTTAATTATAGGCTGTTGCTTCATGTCTTTCTATCTATGCACTGTATATTTTGTCTCTAATTATGTGTTTTAGAACAGAGTATACACTCTCAATAATCAGTTCTGTCACCCTATTCTTGGCGGTCCCTGGAAGCCGTACTGATAATTGTTAATGTAAAGTCTCTTTGCATTAGAACTGCTGCTTTCGTGATCTTTATTAGTTACAGCAGCAACACAGTAGTTAAATTCCCTTCCTCTCCACACAGACATGCTTTTTCCAAACATGTTTCCCAGACATAATAATTGTTTCAAAGGGAATTAAAAAAGCTTAACCCTTCTGCTTCATGTAGAGATTTTTATGAACATATTCTTTTCTAACTTAATTTCACGGTGAAGTGTAAAATACTGAACTTTGACATTTGAAACTTACTGCATGAATACAGCAGTCCTTTGTGTGGGTTTCAAGCCTGACTATGCGGGACCAAACATGCTCAGCAGAAAGCCTCAGTGACTAAACACTTCTTTGATCAGCTGGAATTGGATCTGGCCCTGAAAAGACATAGCATATGTGTGTGAATTTATGAGCTCTCGTGATGAAGGTGGTAGAAAAGTAGGAGGCTAATTAAGCGCAAAAGACTTATTTCCACTATTAAGGCTGCGCATCCAAAGGCAGGAAATGCAAAAGTTCAGGTCCTGCTAGCAACGTTTCTTATCTGGCATTGCACTTGGGTAGCTTTTTATATCCCTTTCTAGTCAAGAAATAATTATTCTTTATTTTCTTGATAATCTTAGTAATTATTATCATGCTTACCTCCACGTATGATAGGATATTTTTTCAGGAAACCTGTCTTAAACCTCATGACACTCCAGTGCAGCCTCCTATGTGACTAGAGCCTCCAAAGGCAGAACTCCCTGGTCTGCACAAGGCGGAATCACTGTGCTGAGGACAGCAGGGCATGGACACAGGGTCAGGGTCATGCCCTGAGAAATATTCCATCACCTGTCGAGGCTGAGTTTATATTACTTTACTGTAGCAGCATTTAGCAATTTCCACCCTGGATCAGAACTGCATTATGCTTGGTACTGTGCCAGCAAAACAATATTTACCTCCTAAAGTGCACCATTAAAACCAAAAGGATATGCTGACAATTCAAACCTTTGGTAGCTGGAACTACAACTTTTGCATTTCTCAGCAGACCTAAACACTGTACTAACACCTCTTGTACTGAACTCATGACAAACATTGAATTTCCCTAATCAAGTAACTTCATCCTGTACAAATAAAATGATACTAAGGAGTTTTCCAACTGTATTTTTTTTTTTAGCTCTGTTGTCAGCTGGCAATTGTTGTATTAAATGGCTGTTGGTTCATGTACGTCATTACCTTAGAGCACCCAGGCTGTGTGTCAGGAAATGACGTGCACACTTGTGTGCGTTTGTTTAGAGCCTTCATCCTGCAAACTCCTGTGCACAAACGTGCATTTATTAATTTATTTCTGCAGGAATCAAGTCTATCTATCAAAGTCTGTACACTTGGAAAAAATGTGCAGGCTTATTTTTTTTTTTTACCTTGCGAATTTTCCTGCTGACACCCTTAAAAACATTCTCTATTTCTGCTTTATGGTAAATAAGATTTAATGCCAAAGATACCACTTTACTTATGCCAAGAAACTAACGTGTATTGTGTTGCTTCTTTTATCTCAGGGCTGGGGAAAGGTAAATACATTTCTAAACTGATACCTGCACCTTGCAGAGTCAACAGCATTTAGAGCTGATTCGAAGCTTCCACAGCCAAACCGCTTGAGATTGCAATGACTTCATCTCTAATAACATTTTGACATGCACTCCCATCAGGCTTCACTGCCTTGATTTTTGCAGATGCAAACAGATTTTTTTGCGCTATGTTTTGTTGTGCTGTGTATCGTGTCGGGTGTTTGAAGTGTTTTTGAGATGGTAAACAGTCTTCTTTCTTTTCCCTCCCCTCCCTTCCCGGAAGGTTTAGTTTCTTCTCTCGTGATAAGAAACGTATGCAGGCATCACAGAAAAACGTCCACTTCCAGGATACTTTTGGAGAATGGTCAAATTCAAATAAAGATGACTCCTACACCGAACAAGGACAAGAAGCCCTGCAGCACCTGTGACTAAAACCCTGAGGTGTTCGATTTACCCCATAGATCTCGACAGTCTAGTAACAAGAAGCTTCTGTAAACAAATCCGGCAGCTCATCACTTTTATTTGCCTTGCACACCTCCGTGGTTGTGTTTCAGATATACTCTTCAGAAGGGATCCCTCACTGTTTACTTGGTACCTGTTTGCTGAAAACAGAATCCAAGCCTTGTAGTAACAGTCGCTGATACCCTGGGACATCGAAGCTTCTAGATGACTTGTTTTGTGCTGAATAACAAGTCTATGGTCTTGTTCATGCATTAACTACAGTAACACAAGCTTCTTTAAACCAAAAAAAGGACCTGTGCCATTATTAGAAGTTTGTTTGCAGTGTACAATATCTAGTGGCAAAGACTCTTTTACCCTGTTTGTTAACACTATCGGTTGTTTGCTTTTTATTTCTGTAAGAATTTTTTTCAAGAGAGATACAACAGCTGGCCACGCTCCACGGCAGGTCTTAGCGCTGCTGTGTCCTGTCAAGTTTAGCTGGCATCTGCATTTTGCAGAGTAACCACCTGGAAATCCACCTGATAGAAATTGATAAACTGGAGTAGCCTTGAGAGGGATAGTGAGTGTACATTTCCCTTGCTGCTTATAGTGCCTAAAGCGTGAAGAAACCGATGTGTGAGGTGAGCGTGCCTTGTGTTTTGCCAGCCGTGCAGTATTAACGGAAGACAAATTGCTCGCAAGGAGGAATTGTAAGACTTGAATTTTTTCCTTCTTACCAGGGACATCCCCCTGGAGTAGCCAACAGCTGCTGTAAAGGAATTCGGTCTCTTTTCCACAGACAGGTTTCTAATTAAGTCACACTCCCACTTTTCTGTCTAGATAAGCCTGCCTAACCTCACATCCTCAACTAGCTCACATGAACTATTTTAACTGACTTAAGAGATGAACCCCAACTCGAAACATTTTCTCTGACTAAACACTACTTGGGCAGAGCGGATGAATTCTCCATGTGCAGGCTGCTTCCAGGGCTGTTGGTGAATGTTTGGGTAGCCCTGCAGTTACTTGCCAGCAAAAGCCCAGCACAGCTGAACTGCCAGAGGGTGGGATTTAGATCCGCTTTGCAATTCAGCTTGTGAGACCTCAGTTGTGCTCACAAACCCCACAACACTAAAGCCCCCGTGCAGCCCGGTGTGGGTGCACACCCTGCCCCTCTGTGAAGGCGCCTGGCCAGGCAGGAGCATCCGTGGCTCCGTGCCAGGGAGGTGCTGACACCTTTCTGTGTGCTGGGAGAGCCCGCGGGAGCACAGTGCTCCTGCTGAGGAGCATCTAGTTACAGCGAGGCCAAGGGCAACTGCTGCACGTGTAGCTTAGTGCTGTGAGCTGCTCATGGCACCTTACCCCCAGTAACTCCACCTGCTCGGTGCAGAGCCTCTTCTCAGGAGCAGCACTAAGAGCAGAGGATGCTCAGGCTGGAGTAAAACTCCACCTACTCCAGGTACTGAATGGCGGAGGAAGTCTTGAAGAGGGTTTAGTGCAGGCCAGTTGTTTAATACAGGGTAGTCCAAGACTCTGGATTCTTTAATGCGCGTGGGCAGCAAGTGGTTCTTAGCCTATCTATAATGAAGCTGCCAAAAAACTTATTTTTGCAGCGGTGGGCTGAAAGCTGCTCTGCTCCTGCCTGTGACTGCTGCATTTTGAACACGGACCTTCCGCACGTTCAAGGTAGAGAAAGTGTTTACTGTGCCTCCCTGGTGTCACTGCAGTTCGGGGCAGGGAGGAAATGTGGCCTTATATGAAAGACATCTGCGTTTGAAATAGCGGTGGTAGCGTCTGATGCTAGGATGAGGCAGATATGCTTTTGCCTGGTTACGTTTTGGTAACATATCTTAAGTTTTATGCTTACAGAAAGCTGCATCCATAAAGCAGGAGCACTTCCCCGCCTTGTGTGAAAGGCAGTTCTTCAATGGGGGGATTGTCTTAATTTAATGATACTTAAGTTGCTAAGATCTCGATTTCACTTGCATATTAGGAAAAATAAAAGTACACTACAGTTGTATCAGGCAGTTAAATTGCGAACGATGCCCGTCGAGTCTCTCCCTAGCCTGGTTTACAGTCGTTTGTCACATTTAGGAGAGATGCACTGATCAGAAACAATGCAAGAATGCAGCGGCTGCACGGCCTGAATAAGCACATCACTTCTGAAATCAGCTGAGAGCAATGAACTGGGATAATAGAAATACTGAACTGTTTTTTCCCAGCACCTAAGCTGCTGTATTACATAGGACATCTGGCCCAGTGCACGTAAAGCTCATCCCCTACACCAGTGCACTATTGTTGGGTTAAATCTGCAGCCAATTTCAAACAATGGCACTAAGCAGTACAACCTTCCCCCACTCATCTCTGTAGCCCATTACCTCAAAAATCTAATTAGTTACTCCTGACCTGCTGGCATTAACCACTTCGCTCCTCGTTCTCATGTTTGAAATGCTGAGTTTAGACACTCCAAGTGCCACAGAGTAGAAACAAGAGTATGTAAAGATTTGAAGATCTGTCTTGTATCGTTTCTCAGTATTCCAAGGAAAATCTCCTTTTAGAAAAGGGGCCGGGATGTTGTCAGGTAAGGGGTGTAACAATCCTGTCTGCAAAGTGCAGGATCACTCAAGTTTTTTGGGTTGGTTTTTTTTTTTTTTTCGGTTGGGCAGTAAATCATTTTAACAGTTTAATAAATATTTCTGAAAAACAAGTATTTCTGCAAGACTTGTGTCCGTTTTTTGGTGGAAAGTTAAAACCGTCTTTTCTTGGGGATGCAGCATACGGGTCTTTCCCCTGAAAAAGGCTCATGCAACTCTTCACTGAAATAAAGCCTCAAACTGGGCGAGGTTTAAGATAGGGCCATTCTAAGGCTGATGTAAAACAATAATTTAAAATACATTAGAAAATATTTAGGAATGGCTTATGATGATAAAGAACACGACAGAGCCTCTTCTAGAAAGCACTGTGAGCTCCTCAAGGGAAGATGTGTCTGTATATATGCATCCTGGCTCTGAAAAAGGAGATGATGCTTTGCCCTCTGTCCTCCCCAGTTCCGCCACCACCAGCAGCAAAGCCTGAGTTCCAGAACAGGATTTAAACCCTGTTCAGGCAGGATGTCACCCGCAGAGAGGAGGAGAGGACAGGGTGGGTGCAGCTGCAACCATTTAGCTGTGACACCGTCCTTCAGTCACCATCCGTGCGCTGATGGGGGACGTGAGGAGTTTCCCGACCTGCTTACTGCTCTGGAGTGCACATTCCTCCAATAAAAGGGAATTACATTCTCCCATGACCTAAAAAAAAGGCATTTCTTATTCCATGCTTCTCCTTCACCTCACAGAGCTAGTTAAGGACAGAGTTATTACCAAAGAGCTCCCCTGTCCCAGCCTCTTCAAGAAAATAGTCACTTCCCATTGGCATTTTTTGGGGCAAGTTTTTCAGAAGCTTAGTTTTTCGCTATTCCATTACTCTTTCTTCAACAAGTGACTGTTTCATAAAGAGCATCTGTCTCACTAAATGAGTGTGGACATCTGGCACATAAATAATTAAATACGGAGCGCTCTGATGAACCCTAATCCAGGCAGCCAGGTGGGTGTCACATGAGGTGTGCGCTCAGTGTCAGCGGGATGCCCGTACACATGGGGCATTTCTTAAAGCATTCACCAGTTCAAAATGATTAATACAAAAGTTTATTTTCTCTGAAGAACAATTCAACACGTATCTTAACTGCATCAGCAATCAATCTACAGAGAACTTGTAGCAGGGAGAGTCCCAGGCTCAGGACAGTAACACCACAGCTCGTTCTGGGAACGCTGCTCAGTCCCAGGCTGAAGGCAACATCTGCAACGGGAACGTTGTGGATGTGAGAGGAGATACCATACCCCAACGGCAAGGCACTGTCACCTATCGATGCTTATCATCATCTCTTTGCTTCTTAGTATCTCTTTCCCTGCTCCGGTCTCTCTCCCTGTCCTTCCTGTCTCTGTCCTTCCTCTCCCTCCCTCTGCTCCTCTCCTCTTTGGAGTCCCTCTCTCTCTCACTCTCACCCCATGTCCACGACCGTTCCCTTTCTGGCCATCGCTTGTCCCTGCTCCTTTCATGCTCTCGGTCTCTTGTTCTCCAGTCCCTTGTTCCCTCACGAGACCAGTTTCTTTTCTCTCCTGATCCTTCTCCATAGAAATCATTTTTCATGTTTGGCAAATTGATGGGCTTTCGGAAAGGTCTGTCCCGTCCTCCGAATCGTAGCTGCCCAGATTCTTTTTTGCCTCCAAAACCACCTCCAAGCCTCCGCGGAATCCAGCCTTTGAGAGTTCTTTCCAGTTCAAAGTCTACAAAGATCTCATGCTGATCGATTACCAGCCTGTTGGCGTCTCTGTGGGCCTTCAAGAGAGCACGCTCCTCTTTGTACTCAATAAACGCGTAACCCTTGGAAAAACCCGTGACCAGGTCTCGAACCAGACGGATCTTTCTGATGTCTCCGTACCGGGAAAAGACCTCCTTTAACTTCTCTTCTGTTGTCTGAAGATTGAGCCTTGCTACAAACAGGGTGAGGTGGGGGTCTCCTGTAACTCCCTTGTTGGGGACATAGCGTGCCAACATGGCCCTCCATATGGCGCGGTCGTGGGGCTCTTCGTCTGTGCCATCGATGCTCCCGGCTTTGAGGGGGTCGTACTCCTTCGCTATGGGGGCCCAGTCGTTCATTGTCTAGTGGGGAAAAAAAAAAATGCATCGCACGGACTCACAGGTATTTTAGGAAGAAGAGCGGGAAGTGCGAGAAGCACTTTCAACACCTGATGTACACTATTTTTAATTCAAAAATCCCCCAAAATGTGACAAATTTAAATAAACCGGAAACGGTGCTGTTGTCGGAGTTGGAGGAGTTCACTTCCTGGGGCAGAGCCATGTCATCACAGCACAGTTTGGGTTGGAAACGACCTGAAGCGATCCAGTCCCACCCCCCTGCCCTGGGCAGGGCCACCTTCCACTAGCCCAGGTTGCCCAAAGCCCCGTCCAACCTGGCCTGAACCCTGCCAGGGAGGGGGCAGCCACAGCTTCTCTGGGCAACCTGTGCCAGGGCCTCACCCCCCTCACAGGGAAGAATTTCTTCCTTACACCTCATCTAAATCGGCCCTCTGTCAGTTTTAAACCCTTACCCCTCCTCCTGTCCCTCCCCCCGTTCCCGCAGCCCCTTTCAGCCCTGGGGGCCGCTCTAAGGTCTCCCCGGAGCTTCTCCTCTCCAGCTGAACCCCCCAGCTCCCAGCCTGTCCTCACAGGGGGGGCTCCAGCCCCCCCCGCATTTTCGCGGCCTCCTCTGGCCCCGCTCGGGCAGGTCCGTGTCCCGATGTTGGGGCCCCCAGGCGGACGCAGCCCTGCGGGGGGGGTCACCAGGGC